GTGGAAAAACAAACGTTGTGATGTAAGGGGCTGAATACGTTTGGGGGCAAAATATAAAGAAAGGGAACAACAGGCCTGTGTGGGAGAAGTCACTTGCCACGCTGCTGGGACCAAACACCTGACGCCCATGGCTTCAGGAGGAGGTTCACTTGGGCTTATGTTGCAGAGGTGTCAGCCCCAACAGGGTCTATGGCTAGAGCCGGTAAGGGGCTCACTAGGCCCGACCAGGGGGAGCTGGAAGGGAGGTGACGTGTCCAGGCCGCGCCCAGGCAGTGGCCACCTCCTCTGACCAGACGCCGCTGGCCACCTGCAGGTCAGCTATGAGCCCATAATCTAGTCACCCATGAGAAGGCCCACCAGTGGTGGCCTGATGCTTCAGGGGATGCCTATCAGCCAGAACAGAAAGAAGAGAAGAGAAGAGGGGCGGGAGGGGAGAGAAGAGGAGGAGAGGGAGCTCAGAGCTGGGCACGCGGTGCGTGCCTGGGCCACCTGGTGAGACCGCGTCTCCCACTGAGCAGAAGGGCTGGACGTTGGCTCAGCAAATGTCCTCAGTCCCAGAACTACGGGAAAATACAAAGGGGAAGTGACTTGGGCGCCCCCAGGGGCACAGTGAGGCACACATTTCGCATTATTTCAAGAGGAATTCAAAGGGGCCCTGGGGCTGAGTGTGCTGCCCAAGGCCGAGCCGCTCCTGGGCGTGGATGATGGCGCGCCTTAGCTTTGCTCCTGGGAATGAGGAACATCTACGAATAGTGCTCTTTCTAGATGCCGTGACCGTGCAGATGCTCTCCCTGTGTGCTGACATCTCACAAACCTCCTAGAGCCCGGAATTCCTGGGGTTCCTCCTGCTGTGTGAGCCTGTTCACCAGGGAGCAAGGCCTCAGGGCTGCGGGGGCTGCACTTTGTGAGTGGCTGTGCTTATTATGGTGTTTGGGAAGGTGTTGTTGTTGTTGTTGTTGTTTTGGCAGAACTGGGGATTGAACTCAGGCCCTTGCGCTTGCCAGGGAAGCGCTTATTCCACTGAGCCATCTCCCCAGCCCTGGGAAGTTTTTAAATATAAACCCTCCTGGTTCTGGACTCTCTTTGTGGAAGAAAAACAGACTAGCACACTAGCTTTGTCTGTATACTTTGGAATTAGACCATTGTGAGAAGGTCAGTGGGCTGTTGGGACACAGTGTAAAATGTGTATGTTCTTAATGAGAAGGCCTAGGAACCTCGGGTTTAGGAGCATTGTCGTTTCATTCCAAGTTCCCTTTTTTTTTTTTTTTTTTTTTTTTTGGTGGAACCAGGGATTGAACTCAGGTACTTGCGCTTGCCAGGGAAGCGCTTATTCCACTGAGCTATCTCCCTGGCCCCTAGGTCATATATTTTTATACAAAACATCTCATTACCTTAGCTTTATTTTTTATTTATTTATTTATTTATTTATTTTGGTACAGTCAATTGAACTCAGAACCTCGTACTTGCCAAGCAAGTGCTTAAGCCACTGAGCTATCTCCCCAGCCCCATCTTAGCTTTATTTTAAAAAACCGAAGCGGAGGAGTCACACTGACAGAATGCTCACCAACAGCACCTCTGCGTTTCCTGTGCTCGGGTCCCAGAGAGTCTGGCCATGAGCAGAAGCCTGTGCGACTCTAAGTCATTAAGGGCCAGGTGGGGCCAGCGAGACGGCTCGGCGGAGTAAGCACCTGCTTAGGCAATCACCGGGACTGGGCTCGACCCCCACACCACATGCTGTGCCAGCCCCACCCCGGGCACACTGAGCCAGCCACCGAGACCGGCCGTGGTGGCACATTCCTGTAATCCCAGTGCTAGGGAGGCTGAGAACAGGAGGATCACTGCGAGTCTGAGCTGCACAGTGAGGCCCTGTAACAACCAAGTACATTAAAAAAAAAAAAAAAAAAAAAAAGACCAGGTGGAGCTATGAAGACCTACAAAATATAATGTGAATATTATCATTTTCTTTTCTTTTTTTTTTTTTTTTGGAACCAGGGATTGAACTCAGATCCTTGCACTTGCCAGGGAAGTGCTTATTCTATTGAGCCATCTCCCCAGCCCATCATTTTCTTAAAGAAGTCATATTGGGGGCCTGGCCCTAGCTCAGTTCTTTAAGTGGCTGCTTTCACAAAGCTGTCAGCCTCAGGTTGCTGTAGTTTGATCCCCACAGCACTCCAGCCCGCCAAAAGTGCCCTGAAGGCATTCAAGGAGAAAAAAAAAAAATCCTTATAAAAGGGGCTGGTGAGATGGCTCAGTGGTCTAAAGCACCTACTTAGAACAACCTAAGCTAAGCAAAAGCACAGCGACCGCGGTTCAATCCCCAGCACCACATGCCAGCCAGCCCCGCCCCCTGGTGGGCTGAGCAGGCCACACACACACACACACACACACACACAAAATAAATAAATTAATTAATTAAAGAACTCATATTTCAGCATGGAAAGTGCACACATATTGATGAGCCTCGATCCTTGCTGAGTCAGACTTGGCGAGGAACTTCGTTTTCAGGCATACACATTTTGGAGCTTCAAAGGGAAGGCTGTTCACGGCCTTGAGGCACCATCATGTGTTCACAGTGACCCCCACACTAGCTGTTTTGTTGCTGTGCTTTTCACTTGGTCTGGTTACCTGTAGACTCCAGGAGTTTGTGCTCCTAGGGCTTGCGCTCCGGAGTGGGTTACATAGTCAACTGCGTAAAAGCGCGTGTGCACACGCACATAGTGCACGCACACAGTGCGTTTGACCGTTCTGTGCTCACTGCTCCGCAGCCCCTCCCTGATCCGCGGCGACCCGCCTGTGGACGCATAGGAATCCCAGCGGGCTGGATGCTGAACATTTGCTTCTCTTTCTAAAGGTGCGCGTTAAGATGTACAGGCTCTCTGCGGCTTTTGTAGCAGTCGTGTTGCAAATGGCTGACGTCTGTGTTCTCCGCTTTTTCTGAATCAAGGCTGAGAAATATGATTTGTTTGTGAGCAGAACAGAGCCCCGCGCTTTGCCGTTTGTGGTTTCCATGTTGCTTGCGCCCCAGTGCTCTGCGAAGCATCATCGCGCAGCCTGTGAAGGAGGCAGCAGAGGTGGCGTGGAGCTGACCGCCCAGGGCGACCGGAGCCACAGAGGCCACGGGGTGCAGCGGCCGAGTGTTGGCATTCCAGATGGGGAGGGGACAGCGCGGAGGAGAGCGCAGCAGCACCACACGGTGCCCCGAGGAGCAGCACTTCCTGGAGCCCGTGTGCGCTGCTGCAGTTTCCTTCAGAGGAAAATCTTCACTATTTCTTTTTCTTGTGGGCGGTTCTTAGTAGGAGGGGGTTTCCCGGAAAAGACATGGCACCCTCTCTAAGATCATTGATAAATGTTTCCCACTTTTTTTCCAGTTCCAGCGATCAAACTCAGGACCTCATGCTGGTCAGCAGGCTCTAAAGCCATCTCCCTGGCCCGCTTTCCACTCTAAATGCAGAACTGAGTGTGACACCTGTCCCTTAGTCTTTTCTGGGGAGCCCTGCGCCCTGCCTGCCGGCTGCCTGGACGTGCTGCCTGCGGACTCTCAGCCTCTGGCCTAGTCCACCCCGATTGTGGCTCCAAGGCCACTCTTTCTAGCTCGCGGCTTCTTCCTAGCAGGATTTACGAAACCTAGGAGGCAGCAGACGGAAGAGGCCTTGGCCTTCGAGCACTTGGACCCTTCCTGTCTTCACAATTAATGTGTGAGGTATCTTAAGAACCCGTGACAGGCGTCAATACTGACTGTTTCTAGACAGGGAGATTGAGAGGCGTGGAGACAGATGCGAGAGCTGTCCAGTGAGTACTGCATTCATTTTAAAAGAAATACTTGGGGGCTGGTGAGATGGCTCAGTGGTCTAAAACACCTACTTAGAACAAGCTTAGCAAAGCACAGGGACCCGGTTCAATCCCCCAGCCCCACATGCCAGCCAGCCCGCCCCCTGGTGGGCTGAGCTGGCCACACACACACACACATAAATAAAATAAAATTATAAATAAATAAATAAATTTTAAAAATTTAAAAAAAAATAAAAAGAAATACTTAGCCACGCATGAACATTGCTGTATTCCCAGCACTCAGAAGGCTGAGGCAGAGAGATTACACAGTGAGTTTAAGGGCGGCGTGGGCTATAGAATGAGCTCCAGGCTGACCTACATAGCAAGGCCTTATCTCAAAAACTATAACAAAGTAAAAACAGGGAATAATAAAATTAAATAAATGCACTTAAAAATATTTGAAACCCTCGAACAACAGGATGGAAGCCAGGCCTGGTAGTGCATGCCTGCGATCCCAGCAGTCAGGAGGCTGAGGCAGAGCGTCATAAGTTCAGGCCAACCTGGGCTGCACGGCAAGACGCTAGCCACACACACACACGCGCGCGCGCACACACACACACTGCTCTTGCACGCCATCTACATTGCTGCCCACTGTGGGCTGACTGAGGTGTGATGTTTTGGGCATGGGTGGGAGGCAGAGGCTGTGAGCAGAAGACCCCACCTTTGAAGTGGGCTCGGCCATCTCAAGTAGGAAAAACCCAGCAGTTGAGAGATGCTGCGCAGCCTGGCCTGGGTCTCACCCTGGCACCACGAGATGCCCTCCCCATGCCCACGGGAAGCTGCAGCCCTGTGCCTGCTGGGAGCATAGGTGCCTCACGTGACTGCCCATCAGAAACTGAGCGATGATGGAGTCGGTTTAAGGTCATTCATTCCAAGGGGTACAGTCCCTGGTCCCAAGCTTTGCCCACCTCCAGCTGCACCCAGACCCACAGCGGGCCATACGTGGGCGCCATGCATAAAGCACCGTGTCCACATGGTGTGCCATGGCTCACCTCCAGGGTCATAGAGCCTGTGCTGAGGAATGCGGCTGACACTTCAGGGACCCTTGCCACTCCCTGGACACCCACAATTCATCTCCCAGGCGAACAGACTACAGGGGCCGCAGCTGCATCTGGCCGCTCACCCAGGGGCGCTCCTGCTTGTCTGAAACAATCTGAGGCTGTGTTTTGCAGGGCGCTATCGTCATCCATGAGGTGTATGAAGAAGGCGCAGCAGCCAGAGATGGAAGACTTTGGGCCGGAGACCAGATCCTAGAGGTACATGCTGGGAGTTTTATTCTGTAGCAGGGACTGTGCTTCTTTTGCTGGCCGCTCCCCAGGGTTAGTGTTGCTGTCTCCCCACCAGCCTGTACCTTGCTGGTTTCTTTCTCACTTAACAAAAATGCACCACACAACGTTTATAATTGACTTGGTTGGGGGGATTGGTGGTGGTGGGGTGGTGGTGGTGGTGGTGGTGGTGTGTGTGTGTGTGTGTGTGTGGGTGTGGGTGTGGTGGTGTTTTTTGGGGTTTTTTTGTGTTTTTTTGTTGTTGTTTTGTTGTTGTTGTTTTTTTTTTTTCAGTACTGGGAGTTGAACTCAGGGCCTTGCACTTGCCAGGCAGGCACTTATGCCACCAAACTATCTCCCTGGCTCTTTGTTCTGTTTTTCTGAGACAGGGTCTCACTATGTAGCTCAACCTTGAACTCACCGTACAGCCCAAACTGGCCTCAAACTCGAGGCAGTCCTCCTACCTCAGCCTCCTGGGTACAGTACTGACAAGTATGGGCCATCACGCCTGCCTCTAACTTTTATAACTGTTATAAATTATTGCAATTTATGGTTCTATTGCTTTGATTCCCAACAGCACTGTATAATATTGCAAATAGATTTTCTTGCACCTCCATAATACCTTACTAACTTCCCTCCTAAAAACATGCATGTGTAGACACACACAAACATACACTCTGACACTCTGAAGATTTTCCTTGCAGCATAAATAATATTTTCTTAATCTGACAAAGCCTTTTATTAAGTGCAGTCTTTGCTGCCACTGTTTTCGAGTTGTTGCGGACGCAATGTCTGCTCTTGGGGGTTCACTGCTGGGGTGCACCTCAGCAGCAGAGCACTCATCTGCATAGACAAAGCCCTGGGTTAGACACCCAACACTGCAAGATTTTTAAAAAACAGAACTGTTTGGCAAAACTGTGAAAGCCTTTCGAAAGAACCAAGGTGGGCAGTGTGGGCACCAAGGGCCTGGAAGCCCAGGGGTGTCTCAGCAGTTAGCAGTTCACGGGTAGTGGCGTGGTGGGTGACATCACAAGTTTCACTCCCCGGGGCCGCAGTGGCTCCATTGGCCCCTCAGCACGAGAGCAGAGGCATCATGAGGGGCAGGAAAGCTAGACAAGAAGGGGTTAAGGGAGAGGCCAGCTGACTGCAAATTAAACCCAGGCGAGTTACAGGGCTCCACAAGCCTCAGCACACCGCCCAGTTCAGGACACTGTTCGCGCCAAATACCCGGCTCCAGGGAGCTGGCTTGCTGCCTGCGCACAGAACAGCTTCTTAGGATGCCAGGCACACAGCTTATTCTACTGAGCTCTCTCTCCAGCGCCCTCTTCCTGGCTTTCTAATCAGCTTTTATTACTGTTTGCTTTTTTTTTTTTTTTTTACCATTTGTTAGCATTCAAATGAGCCCAGTGGCTTCAAGCTGCCAGGACCCTAGCCCCCCAAAACTTAAAATTCTCCCTGGCTCTTCTGCTGAAGAATCTGGCCTTCACCGTGACAGGATGGTTTGGGAGCTTTTCCCTCCCAAGAGCGCTGTAGCAGCCAAGCACTCAGCATCAGTGACGGGAGCTGCTCGACCTGTTTTGGGCAGCAGCCTTTCCTCGTGTCTGCCTGCTGACCAACATCCACAGTTTATCAAGGTGGACAGTTGGGGAGAAGCTCAGGTTCCTCTTTAAGTGGTAATGCCTTATATCAACCTTCCCAAAGTCACCTGGGTGACCTTTGTCAAAGTTGACCCTGTGGTGATGCATGCCACCAGCTTCAGCCCGGCCTCCGGGGTGCTTCCGGTGCTTGCCGAGGCGGCCTTGGCTGTGGCCCCCATGGCTCTGAAGCTTCCAGGTCTTCCTTAGTCTGGATGACAGGTCAGTGACCGAGATGAAAGAGCATTGTTGGTTTTTTAAATGGATAGTTCCACTGTAAAACGGTACAGATATAAACACGCTTGCTAGCCGGAGCCCATAAACCATCCTGCAGTGCCACGCTGGGCTCCGCACACTGATACTGCTCTGGTCAAGTCGCAGACCACCAGATCGGCTCCCAAAGGCCGAGCCACATGTGCTCTCAGTGTGCAGCGCAGATTCTTTGACTTCAGGGTGCATGGGGTCTCTTGTGTGGCTCCCCACGGGCTGGACCCCCCTCGCGCTGCCCCTGCCACCTGCACCCCTGGGGCTCGCACAAGTGCCAAGCGGAAGTGGCCATCTCCCACCCAGGCAAGGGCCCCTTCTCCCAGCCACCCCTGCGGCTGGCGTCTTCTGTGACACACTCTGTGTTCCAAGGGGCGCCCAGGGGACACATTCACCACTGCTCAGAGCCCCAGCACTCTGTGAGGGATGTGTCCACACGGTCTTGGGCCCCTGGAACCCTAACGAGAGTGCTTCTGTCATGAGGCTGCTTTCTTGGAAGCCCTCCTTAAGCCCGCGGCCACTCTTCTTGCTGGCCTGAGTCCAGTGACGCAGTGGCCTTGCGTGCTGTCTGTCAGAACATGGGGAAGTGACTGACTCCAGCGCACCCTGGCCGCACTCTCTCTCTGTCCCATTAGCTGGCTCTGGGACACAGTGATGGGCTCAGTGACTGAGCCAGCACCTGTGCGTTGCGAACACAACTGTCCCTCGCTCTGAGCCTAACGTGTTTGGCTGGACCTGGGCGCTGGTCCTTGTGATGCAGGCTTCCCTCTGGTTGCCCCACTCCCATTCCCCAGGGGCTCCACAGGTCCTGTCCCCCAGGAGGCTGGCACCAGACCCATGACTCAGCCCCTGTTGGATGGTCAGGCCATGGGCAGTAGCCAAGGAGACCCCCGGAACCCGTCCACTTCCAGCCCTGGGTCTCTGAACCACACCGGTGCCTGGCACTCTCAGGGCAGACAGAGCCCTGAGCTGGGGGGACAGACAGAGGGCCTGGCACATGGGTAGACGCAGCCTGCTGGCTGCAGGACCTTGGCCAGGTTGCTTAACCTCCTCCTGTCTCAGTTTGCTCATCTGCAAGTGGTAGTGAGAAGAATGGGTTCCAGAGAGCTAGTGGGGCAGGCGGGGTGGCCACAAATGCCCTGCATGCTTAAGGTGCTTTTATTACAGTAAGAGGCACAGCGCCACGAGCCCCTCACAGTCCCCCTTCCTTCCCACCCCATCCAACGCACTGTGCCAGTGCGCCGGGACGCGTGTGCTGCTGCAGGGGTTGAGTTGTAAGGGTCCACCAAGTCTGGCGCACAGCATGGCAGAGCTGCTTAGGCTGAAGTCCAGAGAAAAGGAAGCAGGGTTACAGGACACCCAAGCCCGAGGCAGAGGTGGCTCCCACAGCGCAGAGCCCGGGACTCTGCACAGAGGGCCAGGTCCCAGCTGCGCCCAGCCGGGACTTGGGAGCTGTGGCACTACCACCTGGCCACGTCAGAGCCGGGGGGCAGCCGAGCCTTCAGTGCCTCCCTTAGGGTCCTCCTCCTCCACGGTAGACCCCGCAGCCCATGTGAGACACCCGTGCCGTGCTGTGGGCCGCATCGGCGCTCTGCGGGGCTGTCCAGGTGCCCAGGCTGCTGACTCGGCACCCTCTTACAGGTGAATGGCGCGGACCTGCGGAGCTGCAGCCATGAGGAGGCCATTGTGGCGCTACGGCAGACCCCGCCCAAGGTGCGGCTGGTGGTGTTCCGGGATGAGGCCCATTACCGGGACGAGGACAACCTGGAGGTCTTCCCAGTGGACCTGCACAAGAAGGCCGGCCGTGGGCTGGGCCTGAGCATCGTGGGGAAGCGGTAAGGACAGTGCCAGCCCCGAGGGGTCATCTCTCTGTACCCACTCTCGGGTCCTGGGAGTGGTCAGGCGCTGGGTCCTGGCTCAGGCCTACACGCCCTGGTGAGGGAGTGCACAGGGCAGTCAGATTCGTGCATGAGGCTGGGAGAGCCCTCTCTCTACACCAGGTAAAACTATGTTCACACACAGATGAGGAAAAAATGGCCTCATCAGGGTGGAGTTGAAGAAAGCTGTCCCAGAAATAACAGCTCAAAAAGAATTCCAGGGCCAGCCGGGAATATAGCTCAGTGGTACAAGCACCTGCCTGGCAAATGCAAGGTCCTGAGTTTGATTCCCAGTACCAGAAAAAAGAAAAAGAAAAGAAACTTCACCCTCAGCCCTGCAGAAATACAAACCTACGGCCTTCATGGGAAGATGGTCGTGCTTGAGACCACGCTGGTGAGTGAAGTATGTCAGACTCATCAGCTTAAATGCCCTCAGCTCCCCTTACATGAGGACCAATTCCGTGACTTGGAAATTGTCTTAAAGATATGCTGACAGATGTTTAATGGCCACTGTACCACAGCCAGAGTGGAAATACGCTATACCCCATCATAGGTCACTGCTGAGTGAAATCCACGGAATGGCACTCAGCCATGAAAAGGAGGGCGCTCCAGCCGCTGCTAAAGGTCAGCTGGAGCTGGGAGTAGCTCAGGGTGGCACGCTTGCATGAGAACGAAGCCAGGCAAGACTGAGGGGTCGCTTGCTGAGGCTGTTGAGTGAAAGCAGTGGGACTGCAGAGAACAGAGCCGAGGAGGAGGTGGGGGTGGCCCCGTCGCACGCGCGGAGTCCGTGGGTACATGTCCTCGAGTCCTTTCATGCACTGAGGGACAGATGACAGGGCCTCCATGGGAAGCAGACCAGGGAGTGGGAGCCTATGCAGGCGCCACTTTCTAACCTCTTGAATTTAGACAAGTTCTTCCATCCAATAAGTGTAATTAAGCCCTAAAAATGGGGCCGGGGAGATGGCTCAGTAGAATAAGTGCTTGCCTGGCAAGCCCAAGGGCCTGAGTTCAATTCCCAGTTCCACCAAAAAAATAAAATAAACCCTAAAAATGAAAAAGGCGGGAAAAGCATGAGGAGACTAGTCTTAGATTTGATGTGACCACCCATGCTGGCCTTCCCCATGGGAAAAAGTGCCTTACGTAACTCGTCCCACAGGCGCGGGAGCGGGGTGTTCATCTCTGACATCGTGAAGGGTGGAGCCGCAGAGCTGGACGGGAGGCTGACCCAGGGCGACCAAATCCTGGCCGTGAACGGGCAGGACGTGCGGGGTGCCTCCCAGGAGACGGTGGCCGCCCTCCTCAAGGTGAGTCCCTGCGCCACGCTGCCCGCAGAGCTGCCCCGGTCTCCCGGAGGAGTCGCGGCGGAGTGGATTCAGCTCCTGCCAAGCTGTGTGAATTCCTCAAACCCAGTGTTTCCCACGTAGAAGCCTTCCCGCCTACTGGGCCAGCTCCTCCGGTGCTCAAGGGGAGACCAGAGGCCTCGGCCCTCTTGGAGCTGCGCTCCCAGGGTTTCCCTGCCAGTGCAGGCCCGAGTCTTCTCGCTGCCGCAACCCCCTTCCACTCAGGGACAGCCAGGGTGTGGCTCTGGGCAAAGACACCACGTGGGCTTTGTTCAGCTTCTTGGTGAGGTCATCATCAGGCCCCGGGGGCTGCGCGCTCATAGGTCTCCGTGTTCCATGTTTCTGTCCCTCCCTCACGTTCCTTCATGACCACGCTCATCGGAGGAGAAGGGAAGGAAAGAGCGGGATGAGGCCCACCTGACTTACAGTGGCGCAACCCTTGCCCTGGGTGGAGGCTGCTGGGTGGACCCCCGCGCCCTTCCTGCCTGCGTGGGGCTGCAGAGGCTGGAGGCGGCCATGGGGCCGGGTGGGGACAAACACTGCTCCCCGACACACGCTTTTTCTTGTCTCCCCAGTGTGCACAGGGCCTCGTGCAGCTGGAGATCGGGAGGCTCCGAGCCTGTGCCTGGACCTCTTCAAGGAACACGTCAAAGCACAGCCAGGTTGTCGGCAGCGCCCCAGAAGGGGTCCCCCCCGTAGGCTGACCACCAGGAAAAAAGGGGGCCTGGGGCCCCGCCCAGGCTGGACAGCTCAGGGTATCTGTGTGTCTGTAGTAAAAACAGAAGTGGGTGGAAGCGCAGAGCCCCTCGCTGGCCTCTGCCTCGCCGCCTGCGCTCTTAGACACGGCCGGCTGTGCCACACGCACACACAGCTGTTTGAGAGAGAGGCGATGCGGCACCATGGCTGCCTGGCCTCATTAGCACAGTAGCACTCTGTGCGTCCACTGAATGTGGCGTAGTTACTGCACAAGTGGCCAGCTGGGCAGTCCCTGGCTGCTCCTCCGACTGGGAGCTGGGTCTCCCAAGGGAGAGGCTCAGGGGAACACTTTGTGGTGAGCAGACATTTCACCTTTATCCTGTGGCTGACTCTTAAAATATCCCACCGGAGCCTTCCAGCTCCATGGCGGACACCATCAAGATGGTGTGGGCTTCTGCCCGGCACGGCTTGGCACAAAAGGCAGCTACGGGAGCTCGTGTGCCCCTTGTCTCTGAGCAGGTGTGCACAGGCCTCTGTTGTGAGGTTAAAAATGTGGCTTTCGGCCTCTCGAGGGCTCCCAGCCCACGATGCTCTAGGCTGGTGGCCTCGCTGCTGTGTGTGCTGGAGCGGAGAGGTCTTGTGGTCCAGGCCAGATAGCAGCAGCCAGGCCCAGTCAGCACCCCGTGAACCGAGGAGCCTCCTTTCTTGCTTTTTCTGTTTCTGGGGTCTGTAGTGGGCGGCAAAGGCACCTGCCAGGCACAGTGCCACCCCGGGACCCAGGAGGAGGAGCGGCCGGGCAGGGGTCCCTGGCAGGTTTCTTCCTCAGTGGAACCTGGCCCAGGGCTTCAGTGAGCCACAGTGTGCCCGAGGGAGCCGTCCTGAGAAGGAGCCTGCTCTTTAGGCCACCACGAAGGCCCCTGAGGAGGTGACAGCCCCCTGGAGGCTGGCAAGGGCTTGCTGCAGGCAGAGGGCAGTGGCCAGGCACAGGGCCAAGAGGGTCCGTGGTTTCCAGAGAACCCTTGGAGTACAGCTGAGGAGGCAGGAGTGCCGGGCTCTGCTTCCTCAGCGCCCTCCTGGGTGACACTCACACCAGTCGGACTCAGAGCTCTGGCCCTAGGAGTTGCACTGGGACGGTGGGACTCGGCAGCCAGCACTGCCCACAAGTGGGGTGGAGCAGGCCAGGACCATCCTCCCCCTCCTGCATGGGGCCTTTCTTTCTGGTGGTAGAAGTCTGGCCCTGTTTTATTTATCTTCTATTTTTTGGTATGTGAAATCAAACTCAGGACCTTGTGCTCGCTAGGCGGGCACTTGCTGCTGAGCGGCACCCCCAACCTGGCTCTGTGTTCAAAAGTAAATATATCTTACCATCAGCCTGTCCTTAGCTCTGGCTGAAGCCCAAGAGCAGTGACCCTGAAGGCTGAGGGGAGAAGGCCTGCCCCACTCCAGAAGGCCGCGCCCTTGGGAGGTGAAGCCCTTGACCTTTACAGTGCCGGTGAAGAAGGGAGGGCTCTGTCCCCTCACCCCGCCGCATCCAGGCCATCCAGTGGCAGGTGCCAGGGGCATGGATCCCCTCCTGGTCCGAGTGAGACCAGAGACACAGGCGGCCCTTGAGGGCTCTGACTGGACTCAGAGTGACTCGCTGGGGTCAGCCTTGGGCTACCTACTTTTTTTTTTTTTTTT